ACTTGATTCTCATTTAATAGCATTTCGTGATTGTCTCCGTGTACCTGGCAGTGTGGTAGCTGCTGGTAAGGCAGCAGCGAGCTAAGCAGACATGGCCAAGCCCTTGTAGGGCTTCCTCACAGCAGTGGGAGGCTGACGATTACCAAAAACAAAAACAAAAACACACACACAGAAGGAAATTTAAACTTTTAACTGTCACAGTGCTCCAGAGAGGCCAGGGAAGTCCTCCCCTGAGGAAATGATGACTGAGCTAGGACATGAAGAGTAAATGGAAGTGATCTAAGGAAAGAGGAGAAAGAGCATGTGCAACGGCCTCGTGGCTGGAGGGAGCATAGATGCTTATCAGAAGCAGAAGGTCAGTGTGGCTGGAGTGCAGAGAGCAAGTAGGTAACATGGAGAAGAGAGTCAAGAGGTGGGGGGGTAAGGGATAGGGACTTCAGACCATGCCAGACTTGAGCTTGGGTTCAAGAATTCTATCTTTATCTTCAGAGCAATGGGAAGCCACTGAGAGGTTTCACGTGGAGAAGGGTACCAGCATCAAATTTGCATTTGGAAATGTTTACTCTGGCTGCTTCACTGAGAGCAGAGTGAGAATGGGTGTGGGGAGAATACTGGGAGGAATTTGCAATCATCCAGGTAAGAGAGATGCTGACGATGTCTGCTAGGGTGGAGTTCATTGATTTGTTCATTCAGCAAATAGTTGTGGAGCACCTGTGTGCCTGCCTCTGTGGGCCTTAGGGATAGAAGAGCTAACAAGAGAGACAAAAATTTGTTCCCTCATGGAGATTATCTTCTGCCAATGGGAAAGAGGGTTAAAATGGTATTAATGCTTGCGGAGAAAAATAGTGGGAAAGAAGAAAATACAGTTGGAAAGGGTAGGGAGACTTCAATTGCAGTTTGTAATTTTTAATAGGGGGTCAGGGAAGGCGTCTTTGTGAAGTGACGTTCGAGTGAAGACCTGAAGTTGGTGAGGGAGTGAGGCATGCAGAATCTGGGGGCAGAGACTTCTCAGCAGAGGGGACAGGGAGTGCAAAGCCCTGAGGCAGGAGCGTGCCTGGCACATTTAAGGAACGGTGGCTGGAACAGACTGAGCAGGGGGTGAAGAGGAGGAGCACGGGAGGCCTCAGAGGTAACGGACTGGAGAGGGAGGACCCGGAAGGACCTCGGAGGCCATTGTGATGCCTTTGATTTTCCTACCCTAGAGATGGGGCATCTTTGGAGGATTTTGTCAGAGGAGTGACTTGATCTGATTTGTTTTAAAACAGAATCACGTGCTTCTGTGTTGAGAAAAGACTTTTAAAAAAAAAAGGTAACAAAGAATTGCAGTGGGGGTCTTTTATAAGGGCCAATAGTGGCTGAGCCAAGATATTAGAAGTGGAGATAGTGAAAGTGATTGGGTTCAGAATTTATTTTGCACATTGAGCCAAAAAGATGTAGGGAGAGATTAGATATGGGGTATGAGATAAGAAAAGAGTCTAAATTGACCCCAAGGGTTTGGCCTGAGAAACTGGAAGGACAGGGTTGCCATTGACTGAGAAGGAGAAAATGGGGCGGGGGGGGGGGCAGAATTTTGGTGAGAGACAATCAGGAACTCATCTAAATTTGGGGTTTCTGTAAGACTTCCAAGAGTGTTAGGTAGGGAATGCATGAGCAAAACTGGAACTCAAGGGAGAGGTCTGGGCTGGAGAAACAAATTTGGTTGTCATCAGCAGAGTGATGGTATTTAAAGCCGTGAGTCTGGATGAGATCACCGAGGAAGTGCATGTAGACAGAAAAAAGATGAGGCCTTCCACTGAGCCCTGGGGCACTCGGATGCTGAGAGGTGAGCAAGTTAAGGAGGGATCAGCAAAGAAGACTGAAAAGTCACAGCCAACAAGGTAGTAGGGAAACCAGGAAAGCATGTTGTCTTCAAAGGCAAGTAAAGAAAGTATCGAGGAGCATCAAGGGATCAACTATGTCAAATGTGGCTGATAGGTTAGCAAGACAAGGACTGAGAAATGACTACTGCTGGATTTAGCAAAATGGAAGTCACTGGTGACCTCGAGAAGAGCAGTGTCATGAAGCAATGGGAGTGAAGGCCTGACCCACATGGGTTCTTGCAGCAGAGATGGGGAGAAGTGGACAGATTCTTCTGGTTAGGTGCCAGAGATAACATACCTACTTACCATTGGTCTCAACAACTTGGTGAGGAAACTGAGGCTCAGACAGGTTCGGGGCTGGCCCAAGGTCCCACAGCAGAGCTGGGATTCTCCACTCAGGCCTGTTCAACTCCGAAGCCCCACTTTCCACCCCACTGCCTCTGATGTCCAGGCACAGGTCCTTTCAGGCCTCATTCCTCGCCCTCCTCCCACACGGCTCATCAGGACCTAGTTGGAGTTGCACTATTTTACCTGGTGGGTGTGATTTGCCTAGGTCTAGACAAACAAACGCCTACCAGTTTTCCTTTCAACACCTGCAGCACGCACAGGTGCTGGGGGAATAGCAGTAAACAGGCTTCACCCTCAGCTTTCAAGCTTAGGACTTACACACCTAGGCCTTTTGGCCCCAGACAGTCCTGGGTTCTAATGCTGCCGTGTACTCATTCTGTGACCCTGGCAAATCACTCTGTGGAGTAAGCTGCGATAGTCTCATCTGTATAATGGGGAAAAGAATCTCTACCTCTCAGAGTTCATATGAGGATGCAGGATGAGGATACAAAGGGCCTAGCTCAGCTCCTGGTACATAGTAAGCACTCTCTGAATAGTTGTCACTACAGTAAGTCCTCACTTAACGTCATTGATAGGTTCTGTGACTTAAGCAAAACAACGTATAATGAGACCAGTTTTACCATAGGCTGATTGATATAAACAACAGTTAAGTTCCTACAGCATCTCATCAACATTATAACGAAATGACGTTATTCGAGGACCTGCTGTAGTTTCATTGCCGATTGAAGTTGGAAAGGAGTTTGCAAGTGGCCGGGAAACAGACTAGCAGTGACCAGGCGGCTTTCTGCAGCTGGAACAGGGAGAGGTGGGTGGACTGGCATGGAGCCCAAGGACTGGAGGAATTGTGGGGCCTTTAGGGAGACAGGGCCTCAGCTGAGGCTCTTGCCTGGAGCCCAAGAAGCTGGAAGGGAAGACACGAGGGAAAAATAGTTGTGAGCCTCAGATAATTTCATTGCATAACGTGTTACCTCATACTGACTTAAACAGAGGCAGCAGGATATAATGAGTAAGAGCATGGGCTCTGGTGACAGATGCTGGGTTCAAGTCCAAGCTCTGTCACTTACCAGCTGAGTGACCTCAAATTACTTTACTTAACCTTTTTTTGCTTTACTTGCTTCATCTGTATGAAAGAGGTATTTATAGTGCCTCCTTGATAAGTGTTGTCAATGAGTATTAAAACTAATATGTGTAAAATGCTTTGAACATTGAAAGCTATCTGGAAATATGTAACTGTGAATGGTTTTGTTATCACTAACGCTCATCACAATACTGGGAGGTAGGTACTGTCTGCATTGTATAGGAGAAGAGTTGTGGCACAGACAGGGCCTGTAACTAGCCCAAGGTCACACAGTTAGTGGGGAAGACAGAATTCACATTCAAATAGTCTGCCTTCAGAGCCCATACTCAACCAATGGATACCTGACTCCCTGAAAAATGTGCTCAGTCCCAAAGGCCACTCCTCGGGAGTGCCCTGTCCCTGCATACACATTGTCACCCACAGGGATGGGGAGTTAGCCACCTCCTGAGAGGGCCAGAGTTCCCAGAGCAGAGGGCCCAGTATGGTGGAGGCACCCAGTAAGAGCAAAAAAATGCTTCCCTGGATTCACCCATAGACCCTGGCCCTGCTCCCTAAGCCCAGGTCAGTGACTGTATATGTCCCCACTGGTCCCCTTAGTGCCTAGAGGGCAGTAGCAGATGGCACCTGGGCTCAACATGCAGAGGCTTCTCTTTGGCAGCTTCATAAAACCCACAGGGAAAGGGAGGGGGGTGTTGTTTCCTGGCACATAAATTGACATCCCTGTTAGCCTGGCATCCCTATTAGCCTGGCATCATTGCCCCCATTTCATAGGTATGAAAACTGAGGCTTAGCATAGTTTACTGGCTTGCTCAAGGTTATAGGCCGGGGTGGGACAGGCCCTTCTTTCCTGTCTTAGGGTGGTGACATCCCCAGAATTGGGCCCTCATCTGACTGACACCAAGGCCTGTCTTTCAACTGCCCCATAGTGGACATGTGCTCACAGGTGTGCATACACATGTACGTTACCAAATCATGTGGCTTCCTTACTTGGCTCTTTGGTATCTTTTACAGGGACCCTGAAATACTAATGTTGTAAAAGAAATCTGAGGGTGGTTGGAAAAGTAAAAAAGGGATTACAAAATGCACATAGCTGGTTGTCCATCCCACTGGGAATCTTAATTGTGCCCATGCTTATGTCCTTCCTCTTGGGCAGTCCCATGTGCCCAGCACTGGCATTCTCTGAACACCAGACTTGGGGTTGGGCACTGTGACCCTGAGATAAAGCAGGAAGGTGAGGGAGGCAGACATAGAAACCAGTCATTACCATTTGGTGCACCGTAAGTACTATAAACTTTTTCTATTTTCCCCACACACCCTGCTCCCTTCTTCCCCTTTGCAAACTCTCTTCTCTTCACCAGAGCCCTCTCCTCCTGGCTTTGCCAACTGTAGCTCATCCTTTAGCTCTTGGCTTGGTTACTTCTTCAGGGAGCTCCCAAATGTAGGTTAACCATGTCTGGTTACCCCCAGACATAATACTTATTCTATACTGTAATTGCCTAGCTGTTTGTCTGTCTGCCCTGCAAGAGGGTGGGGCCATGGCTATTTTCTCACCATTACATCATTAGTGTCTGGAACAGGGCCTGGCAGGAAGAAGCTCGGTGAACATGCTGTGTGAACGAATGAATGTCAGTTGGACAAGGGAGAGAGCTACGTGTTGAACCAATGGTGCAGGTGTACTGTCTGACTCTCTCTCCTCTCTTGTGTTGGTCTTCCAGCTGTGGCAGCCAGGACCCCCCCAGAGCCAAGACCTTCTCCAGAAGGTGACCCCTTTCCACCACCACCACCACCACCGATGTCAACCCTGGTCCCTGACACTCCCCCGGACACGCCTCCTGCCATGAAGAATGCCACTAACTCTAAGCAGCTCCCACTGGAACCAGAGAGCCCCTCAGGGCCCGTCGGGCCTAGACCAGCCCTCCAGCAGGAAGAGTCCCCTTTCTCAGAAGCAAAGATCAGGGGAGCCACCCCACCAGCCACAGGCCCACGGGATTCCAGGCCTCCTCGAAGGAGCAGCCAGCCATCTCCAACAGCAGTGCCAGCCTCGGATAGCCCTTCCACCAAGCAAGGTGTGTGTGTGATATCCCCAGTCGTGGGCCGAGACCCTTTGGCTCAGGGTCCCAGCCCTGGGCGATGCCCTGTGCCCTGGAGGAGATGGGTTAAAGGATAGGGTGAGGCCTGAGGGGAAGGCCCTGAGGCTGACTCTCCTTTGGAGGAGCCACTTGACCTAAGTCTCTTCTGGTTTCCTCTCCTAAGATGTGAAGAAGGCAGGAGAGAGACACAAGCTGGCAAAGGAGCGGCGGGAAGAGCGGGCCAAGTACCTGGGTGAGTGTTCAGGAGCACCAGCACCAGCATCCTATTAACGACATTAACATTTCTGGAACACTTAATTATGTGCACTGTGCTAAGAGCAGTATACACGTTATTCCTGTTTATCCTCTCAACCCATTGCGAGGATGAGGAAACAGAGGCTCAGAGAGATGAAATCAGTTGCCTGAGCCACACAGCTCATGGAGCACCTGAGATTCAGGTAGCTCGTGCTCTTCATCAAAATCCATGAAAATCCACCCAGCAGGCCCCAGAGTCAGACAGGGATCTGGCACCAAAGAACTCATTTTTCCTTCAGTGCCGAGTGACCATGAGAGGCCAGTGAGGGAGAAACAGGCCTCCCGTTTGTAGGCTCTGAGCCTGTCTTCAGGAAGCCCTTTAATTTGAGGGGAGAGTCTGAGAGTGGAGGCACCTCCCCACCAAGCAGGCAGGAGAAAGACCCGCCCAGGGCTGGGGTAACAGGAAAGGTCCACCCCATGCAGCACCTTTCACGCCCTCTGGGGCGCCTTTCCCACAGCCGCCAAGAAGGCAGTGTGGCTGGAGAAGGAGGAGAAGGCCAAGGCATTGCGGGAGAAGCAGCTGCAGGAGCGACGGCGGCGGCTGGAGGAGCAGCGGCTCAAAGCTGAGCAGCGCAGAGCAGCCCTGGAGGAGCGGCAGCGGCAGAAGCTCGAGAAAAACAAGGTGCGTGGGTGCTGATGTCTGGCTGCATATGCATGGATCTTCGTACCTATGTGTGCTCACGTCTGTACACTGGCTCGGTATGTATACACATCCATGTTCACACCTTTGCGTCATCTCTGTCTACATGGTCGTATCTGCGTCCACATCTCCAGTCGGGTCCCTGTGGGTACCCTATTTGGGCATCTGTGCAACTGCAGACATATTTGGGTCAGTACATGCTGGGTGGGCACCTGTAACTCTGTGCTGTCAGTACAAATACTTGTATGTGTGCTGATGTGCGTGTGTGTGTGTGTGTGTTTGTACGCAGAAGTGAGTCTCTGTGAGTGTGCTGAGCTCCATGACGTGAGGAGAGCCCTGGCTTGGGCACCAGTGAGGAAATGAAGGAAAAGGTGGCCTGGCTGTGCCCCACTGTGACCTCAGGCTAAAAGGAACACATAGCCCCAAGGTCAGGACCCTCAGTGCCAGGGGGACATGGCCCCACCTGGGAGCCCTAGGCAGGAAAAATCCCACCCCGTCTTCAGAGAAATAGCTCATACACCCAGGAAATGACTCAAGAACAGTGAAAAGCTCCCCAAGAACAAGTCGAAAGGGATCTATTGCAAATAGTCCTTAATCATAGCAAGGATTTGGTAACCTTGGTTACCTACAGTGAGTCAGGGAAAACTTCCGGGGGTGGGGGGCATTGTCACAAGTGAAAGAGGGGCATTTCTCCCAGGTGTGATGAATGGTTCTGAGCCCAGATTTCTCTTCTCCCTCCCTCCTCCAACCCCCCCAGGAGCGCTATGAAGCAGCCATTCAGCGGTCAGTGAAGAAGACATGGGCTGAAATCCGGCAGCAGCGCTGGTCCTGGGCAGGAGCCCTGCACCACAGCTCCCCGGGACATAAGACCAGTGAGTGGGCTGAAGGGGCTAGCGGGTGGGCGGGTGAGGCTGGGACCTGAGGAGTGGGGGAAGGGAGCAGCTTCAGTGCAAGGACTGACAGCTCCCTGCAGCAGGTATGCTTTGCTTCATGTGACTTGTGTCTTCTGGAATGGTCTGTAAACCAAATAGTCCCTCCCCAAGGACTTCCACTATCAAGTCAGAGACGGATTCTCTTCATTTGGTTTGCTCGTCAAACCTGTCATTTTATGTTTAGCTTTCTTTGCTCCTGTCAATTATTGCTAGTTGATGATACGTAAAAAAGGACTTGAATGCCCTGTAGACATGGGATATTTAACGAAAACCATCACCCCCTTATGTACCTGCCTTGGAAGGTAGATTTTTGTCTCTGAGTTTTCTTCATGTAGGCATCATGGATTTTGGTCTGATTCTTTGCTGGCATGTATGTACCACTGTGTTTGGATCTCTTTATGTAATGGCAAGGGTTAGTATTTCTAGCTGTGTATCTCTTTGGTGTATGTGCTCATGGACCTGGATGTTGTGTGTTTTAATATGTGTTTGCCTTGGTGTGCTTGTGGCCTTGTGGACCTCAGCGAGGGCTCCCAAGTCAAACAGAATTGGGTTAGGATCCCAGCTCTGGCACTTGTGGTGTGACCTCTAATTTCTCGATGTTTCTCACTTTCTTCATCTGTAAAATGGGGATAACAATACTACTTGCCTCCGAGGTTGTAGATAGATGTTTGGGAGGATCAAGTGAGGTAACATGTGTGTGGTGCCCAGCACAGTGCCTGGTACATGGTAAGCATCCAACAAATGTTAGCTGTTACAAATACCATGATTGAGTTGCTTTGATGTGTTTGTGCCTGTGTGCATCTGGGTCTGACACATTACCCGTTAGCGTTTGTGTTTCTCTATCTGTGCATGTCTGCACACATGTGCATGCAGAAGTGCTATCACTCTATATGCCTGTGCCCGCATGTCTTTGTGTGTCCATGCGAACATGTGGATCTGTGCGAATGACTGTGACTGTGGGTTCTTCTGTTTAGGAACGTCTCTGCATTTGTCCCAGTAAGTGGGTGTTGCAGCCATAGTGCCTTGGCTGGGCAGTGTCAGCAAGTGCCAACACTGGGTGGTTGTGGGAGAGGGGCTGCAGCGCCCGGCCCTAGGGAATGGCTTCCTGGCCAGGAAGGCTGTAGTTTCTCTAGTTTTACTCCATCTCCTTCCTCTGTTCCTTCTCCGTCGGCTCCCCCAATCCAGGTTGTCCCTGGTTACCTACCCACCCCTCCTCCCAGAGCCAAGTCGGCCTCCTCCCCCCCTTCCTAGCCTGCCCAGTCCTCCTCCTCCCACCCTACCCACAGAGCACCCTGCATGGAAGGCCTCAGTGCCCCCCCTGGCTCCTTCTGGCCCGGCCCTAATGCCGTGTCTTTTCCCCTCCAGGTGGGAGCAGGTGCTCCGTGTCGGCAGTAAACCTGCCCAAACACGTGGACTCTATAATCAACAAGCGGCTCTCAAAGTCCTCTGCCACACTCTGGAACTCCCCCAGTAGAAGTAAGAGAAGGCCCAGCCCTGCTCTTTCCAGAGCCCCTTCCTTGTAGCCCCCACCAAGCCTCCTCCAGAGCTCAGCAAGAACCCCAGGTCCCTGGAGACCTCACGTATTACAGGTCTCCGTCCCCACTCTACCCCACCCAGGGCTCTACACCCCTAGGGGGAGCCGGCATTTGGGTCTGGACCCTGAGGACAGAGATGTGCCCTGCAGGGGAGGAGAACAGAGACAAAGGGCAGAGAGCAGGCGGAGAGAGCCTGGCAAGGGCCTCAAAAGCAGGTGGGGGTGGGAATGGGCAGGCAGCCTCATCTCCAACCACTGCCAGCTGGCATAGGCCAGCCTTCGGCAGGTAGCCTTGCTCCCAACTACCAGACTGGCCTGGGTGCTGTGTGTGGAGGGGGCCCCTTATTCTGGCTCCACACTGGAGGGCCCATGCAGTCCTGCCCTCTGTGCCTTCAGAGCCCCAGCCGTGGCGTTGGCTGGCCCCAGAGTTGTGGCCAACCAGGGTGGCGTGGCCCTTGTGTTCCCACCATGCCCTGATGCTCTCATGTGAAGGGGCCATGGTAGGAGTTATTTATAAGTTTCTCCAGCTTTTATTTGGTTGCTTTGTTGCCTAGCAACCAAATCAGCTGCTGTACCAACCCCACCTGACTGAGGCTTAAAAATAACCCAGCAGCTGAGGGGACAGACAGAGCACTGTGGCCCAGGGCAGCCAGACTCCCTAGCAGCCTCTCCCTGGCATGGGATGCCTAAAAGTTGGGACTCCCCTGAGTCAGAGGAGCACAAGTACCCTCACTGTCCCAAATCCATGGGGTCATGCCTTCCCAGGCCAGCCCTCTGATAGCAGGAGGAGCAAGGCCCTACAGGGGGACACAGCAGAAGGCAGTTGGTCTTCCAGCAACCCTGGGTGGCTCCTTCCTGTACTCACAGTTCAGAGCCCTTTCATTTGCTACTGCAGGACATTGTTGCCCTGGGAAGTGTCTTGTTGCTTGGGTCTGCAGTGGGGATCAGACCCCCAGGGCACAAGTGTGGCCCTGGGGTGATTGATTGGGGGAGAGTACCCGGATGGGGAGACGCCTTGGGTTTGGCATGGGGATTGTACCTGGCTACCCCTCTTTGCCTCTGCCTGTCTCCTGCGGCACCCTGCAGTGATCGACTCCTCCTGGCGTTCTCCCCTAGATCGCAGCCTGCAGCTGAGCGCATGGGAGAGCAGCATCGTGGACCGTCTCATGACGCCCACCCTCTCCTTCCTGGCACGGAGTCGCAGTGCGGTCACACTGCCCCGCAATGGCCGGGACCAGGGTAGGGGCGGCGGCCCTGGGAGAGCCCCCACCAGGGGCCGGGCAGGGGCCAGCCTCGCATGTGGGCCACACCCCGACCGCACTCGTCCCTCCGCAGCCGTGCCGGTGTGCCCGCGCTCGGCCTCCGCCAGCCCTCTTACACCGCCATGCAGCGCCCCGCGCAGCAGCGTGCACCGCTGCGCCCCCTCCGGGGAGCGCGGGGAGCGCCGCAAGCCCAGCACCGTGGGCAGCCCCGCCCCGGTCCGCCGCCGGCCTGAGGCCTCACCGGTAAGTGGCCAAGCAGGAGTGGACAGGGAGCTCCGCCTGGGAACACGGACGCCCCTGACCTCTGCTCCCGCCTTCCCACTCTCCATCCCCTCCTCGCCAGGTGCAGAAGAAGGAGAAGAAAGACAAGGAGCGGGAAAACGAGAAAGAGAAGAGTGCCCTGGCCCGGGAGCGCAGCCTCAAGAAACGGCAGTCACTGCCTGCCTCTCCGCGCCCACGCCTCTCTACCGGCGGGACCTTTGAGCTCAGGTGGACATGGCCTGCATGTCACCAGGCCATTCATTCATTCAAAAATATTTGTTGGGCACCTACCTCTTGGTGAAAACTTCAGGGCAGATTTTTTTTTTTTTAATATTGTTTTGATCACTGAAGTGCCCTAGCACCCAGAACAGTGCCTGGCATCCGATAAGCACTCAACAAATACCTATTGAATGACTAGACGGACCTGCCAGATAGTGTGCTGGATGCTGAGGACATTTTGATGAGCCGAATCAGGCCTCATTCTTACTCTTTATTAATCTTATTAGCTATTTGAGAGACAAACATTATAAAAAGGATCACAAATGAATATATAATTACAAACTGAAATATATGCTCTAAAAGGAAATACTCTGATACTGTGAGAGCATATGAGGTGTGTGTGTGGGGTGCAGACCTGGCCTGGGGGGGGACAATTCCCTGAGGATATGACAAGCCCAGTGTGTGCGTATGTGTATGGTCGCTCTGTGCCCCCCAAGCCTAACTCGTCCCTTTTCTCTCAGTCCCAAATCCAAGGCCCGGCCATCCTCTCCCTCCACATCCTGGCACAGGCCTGCCTCTCCCTGCCCCAGCCCAGTGCCCAGCCATGCTCTGCCCCCCAAACCACCATCCCCCCGAGGAACCACTGCATCACCCAAGGGACGGGTTCGGAGGAAGGATGAGGCAAAGGAGAGCCCCAGTGTGACAGGACCCGAGGACAAGAACCAGAGCAAGGGCAAGGCCAGTGACGAGAAGGAGCCCACAGCCCCAGCCTCACCAGCACCTTCACCTGTGCCCTCACCCACCCCAGCGCAACCCCAGAAGGAGCAGCCCACAGCCGAGATCCCTGCAGGTGGGCAGGGTGAGAGAAGCCAGCTTTGCCTGTGTGGGGGAGGTGGTCAGCGGTGTGGGCACAGACATGCCTGGGGATCGGGTGTTGGGAGACAGGAAGTGGAAGCCCCTTCCCTCTGCTGGTGGAGGCCCAGAACACAGGCCAGAAAGAAGGACCTCACCACTGGAAGTTGGGTGGGTGGGTCACCCTGAGGTCCAGGAAGCACAGGCCATGCAGGGGTGCTGGAGGTGCCTGAACTGGTGTGTGCTGACTTCTGGGCCTGGATCCCACTCCAGATACTGCTGTCCTGACCTCCCCCGCAGCCCCAGCTCCCCCGGCGACCCTTAGCAAACCCATGGCGGGCACCACAGACCGAGAAGAGGCTACTCGGCTCCTGGCTGAGAAGCGGCGCCAGGCCCGGGAGCAGCGGGAGCGTGAGGAACAGGAGCGGAAGCTACAAGCAGAAAGGGACAAGTGAGTGCCCCTTTAGTCCCTGAGAGCATGAGAAGGGGCCCACATGGGGGCTGCTGAAGCAGCACAGGACTGAGCCCAAGTTTCCTGTCTCCCAGGAGAATGCGAGAAGAGCAGCTGGCGCGGGAGGCCGAGGCCCGGGCGGAGAGGGAGGCAGAGGCCCGGAGGCGGGAGGAGCAGGAGGCTCGAGAGAAGGCACAGGCGGAGCAGGAGGAGCAGGAGCGGCTGCAGAAGCAGGTATCCTGGCAGCGGGGGAGTGGTCAGGGCTGGCTGGGCACGGGTGCCTCCTGCTGGCAGGCCAGGGGTTGACCCGGAGGGAAGGCTGGAGTTCAGTTCAGCTGCTTAAAGGTCTCTGGGTCTTTGGCAGAAAGAGGAAGCCGAAGCTCGATCCCGAGAAGAAGCAGAACGCCAGCGTCTGGAGCGGGAAAAGCACTTCCAGCGGGAGGAGCAGGAGCGGCAAGAGCGCAAAAAGGTAGCTGAGCAGTAGGAGGGGCTTCTGTGGGCAGGGCGCGGGTGAGCGGGGCCATCTTTGGGGCTAGATCCCTGCTTCCATGAATGGCACTAGCAGGGCTGGGGGAGTGGGCCCTGCCACGGGCTTGTAAAGGGTAGGACAAGAAGGAGGTGGGGTGAGATCTGGTTCCTGGCCTGGAAGGGACTGGTACAGCTGGAGGGGCCCTAAGACTCCAGGACCAGGGCTGGCTAGGTGGATGGTGTAAGATTAGGGTGGGGCTTGAGCCTAACTGATGTGGGGCCTCCAAACAGCGTCTGGAGGAGATCATGAAGAGGACTCGGAAGTCAGAAGCTGCTGAAACAAAGGTCAGGATTCCCCAAAGGGCAGCGTTGGAGATGGGGCTGGGAGAGGAAAGGAGGCTGGGTAAAGGCATCCAGACTGGAGGAAAGAAACTGTGGCAGGCTGCTCAGGGCCTGGCTGGGGGAGGGAAGACTTCAGCACCGCAGTGGGGTGGGACCAGATAGCTATCCCGTGAGGATGACTGTTCTTCCTTCTCAAAGCAGAAGCTGGACAGAAAGGAGGCAGACACCAATAATTCCAGCCCAGGTAAAGGCCCTGTTCCCTCATCTCTCTTTTACCACCCCATCCTCATACCTCCTCTCACCAGCCAGCAGCTGATGGCCATTCCTTCCCTGTAATAGATCCTGTCAAAACCGGAGAGTCCCGGCCCTCAGGGCTGCAGAAGGAGGCTGTGCAGAAAGAGGAGCTGGCTTCCCAGGAGCCTCAGTGGAGGTACCAGCTCCCAACCCCAGGGACCCTGAGCAGGGAGGCAGGGGCAGGCTGGAGATGTGGGCTACCTGGGCTGTCCTTGGATTGAAGTGCCTAAGCGTTGGCCCCTGCATCCACAGCCTGCCAAGTAAGGAGTCACCGGGGTCCCTGGTGAATGGCCTGCAGCCTCTCCCAGCACACCAGGAGAATGGCTTCTCCCCCAAGGGACCCTCCGGGGACAAGAGTCTGGGCCGAACGCCAGAGGCACTTCTGCCCTTCGCAGAGACAGAAACCTTCCTCAAGAAAGCCGTGGTGCAGGCCCCGCAGGTCACAGGTAAGGCTCCCTGCCTCCTGGATGCTTAGCCGCAGCCTTCCCAGGACGCCCCAGCCCTGCCCTCTCCCAGCTCTGCCAGAGGCCCTCTCACACTCCACCCTGAAGCCCCCATCCCTCCACCCCGGCTGGCTGGGCTTGGAGGCATGGTTTGCCTGACTGTTTCCCCTCCCACTTTTTCCCCAGAAGTCCTTTAAGGGGTTGCCTTGGATCCAGGCACAGCTGAGGGCTCCTCTGCATCATCTACCAGAATGTCTGGAAAAGAAAAGAGACAGAACAAAGCCAGAAGTGGCCTGGGCCCCTGGGGGTGGGTCCTCTCTGTTATTTTTAATCTGCACCTTATAGACTGTTGTCTCTTTGGCTGGAGCCAGAACCTGCTCCTCAATGCATTCGTGTGCTCACACGCGCGGACACCCCCCCCACACACACATACACTCACAGCCTCTCTGGTCCTTCCCTTGAGGAAGGGCCGCCTGTAGTATTTGCCTTGGTTTGGTGGGGTACAGTGGATGTGAATACTGTAAATAGCTTGTGCTCAGACTCCTCTGGGTGGAGGGGGTGGGTGCAGGAGGTAGACCCTCCCAAGACTCCCAGGGGAGATCTTCCTCTCTATTTAACTGTAACTGAGGGGGAACCCAGGTCTGGGGATGGGGGGCACCTTGGGCCACAGGATGCTGGTTGCTTTAGGGGTACCCATGCTCCCTGTCCTTGCCTGGAATCAGTGTTAACTGCATCTGATCAAACTTCTCCAGAAATAAAGTGAGAATAATTCTGCCAGTCCTGTCTATCCCTGGGGCTGGCGGTGTGGGGGGGAGCAGGTGGCCTCCCGAATTCTAAGAGCTTTAGGAGAGAGGGCCTGGGGATATCTACCCCTGCCTAGTACTAGTCCTAGACATCCTGCCTGTGGTCTCCTAGTTTAGCCATTAATTCACTCACATATTCATTCGACAAATATGGTTGCATCTACTCTGTACCAAGCAGTGGGTTACATGCTAGAAACGCAGTAGTAGGAAAAGACACAGCCTCTGTTCTCAGGGAGTTTACAGCCTAGCAGGTGAGTGTCATAGACACTGTGAGTTGCCAACTCAACATCCATTCCCATTGCCCCTTCCTCATTCCAAACAGAATCCTGATTTTGTTCAGGTGGCCATCCTCCTCCTGGATCCCACCCTGTGCTTGATCAGAGATGGATCCTACCCTTGGGTGAATCATGATTGTAATGAGCCATAAATGGTGGTCCCAAAGCCCTCATGTGTGATTGGTTTGGGTATGAGTACATGACACAATTCCAGCTAGCAGATATAAAGAAGAGCCTCCTGGGCTTCTATAGGAGAGACTGCCTCACTTTTGAAAAATATACCTTGTGGTAGCCAGCCTTGAAGTTGACCTCCTATTGTCCCCCGCTTCCTAGTGTTTACACCCTGTGTAGTCCCTTCCATGTTGCACCAGGGTTGGGCTAAGTGACTGACAGAATACAGAAGTGATGGTGGGTCACATCCAAGATTCCATCATAGAAGACACTGCAGCTTCTGTCTTGGCTGCTCTCACTCTTGGATAAATCCCTCTGGAGGAGGGGTAGTAGCTACATCACCGACAGCCTTATGGAGAGGCCCGATGAAGGGACTCAAGCCCCCTGCCAACAGCCACGTGAATAAGCCTGGAAGCAGCTTCTCCAGCCCCAGTTAAGCCTTCAGATGACTCCGGCCCTGATAACCTCACGAGAGACCCTCTGCTAGAACCAACCAGCTAAGCCACACCTGGGTTTCTAACCCTTGGAAACTGTGAGATAATAAATGTTGTTTTAAACTGCTAAGTTTTGTGATAATTTGTTACACAGCAAGAGTTAGCTAAGACACATGACGACAAAACCCTGCTTGTGTGATATGAGGTTCAACAGTGCTGAATTACTGCATCCATCCTGCTAACCGACCTGAGGATAAAGCCAACATCGAGGGTGGCAGAGCAGCAAGAGGGGGACAACCTAGATCCTCGAGAACTTCACTGAAATAACCAACCCCAAAAGCAGTCCTACCACTAGACAACTTCTTGTTTAAGCCAATGGAGCTGGATTTTTTTGTTATGTGTGGCCAAAAGTGTCTAATGCATCTAGGGACACATAAACAAATATATAAATGTATTTCCATTGTGAGCTACGATGAAAGGACAGGCAATAACAGGGACACCTACTCAGAGAAGTTGTCCTCTAAAGACGCAGCAATTAAACTTGACCTGAACGATGAGGAGGAGGAACCAGCCATGTAAGAAAGCAGGGAGAAGAGTTGCAGGTGGAAGGGTCAGTATGTGAGAAGTCCTGGAGGAGTGGGAGCAGAACCAGTGTTGCTGGGGCATTGAGGACCATGGGAAGAGCTGGGGCAGGGAGAGGTAGGTGTTGGGGTGACGAGGGGCAGGGAAGGGACTAACAGCTTCTAGGCTCTCCAAGTGAGAGCTTGGCACACCCTTCCCAACCCCCGGCTTATATTCACACTGAGGCAGTGGCACCAACATTTCCCTGAAGGCAGCACCTTTGAATGCTCTGCAGGGGAATCATTTATTTATTCATTCAATAAATTGTGAAGCACCAGCTGAGCACCAGAGGGATATGATGGTAACCAAAAACCAGATGTGGAAGCTCCTGGAGCTTCCTAATGGGGAAGATGGGCATTAGCCAAAGAACCACACAAACAAATGTAAAAATAAAAAATGTGGTCAGTGCTAAGAAGGTGGAATATGGGGAGCAATGAAAGCCTTTAACATGGGGACCTAAGTTGGGAGTCAGGTAAGCTATCCCTGAATAAATGGTGTATAACCTGCGATGTGGTGGGTGAGTAGGTGTTGACTTCACGAAGTCAGGAACATAGAGAAAGGAGAGGAGAGAGATGCTCTTTCCAGACAAGGGGGAAACCATGTGCAAAGGCCCTGTATGGAAAGGAGTATCTGGAGGATTGTAAGCAGATCTGAAGGAGTCTGTTGTTACTCACCACTGAATCCTCAGGGCCTGGTATAA